GGGGGAGCACCATGGTGTACTGCAAGGTGACTGCTGCGGTGTGCAAGCAATGCAACGCCGTCAACTTCCTCGGCTGCCGAGAGCACCGCGAACTCCTGACCCGCGTCTACGCCAAAGATGAAGTACTACTTTAATACCCCCCCCCACACAGCTCTCTTCATCTTTCTGCCCTACTGAGGCGAAGCAAGCGCCATTTAAATGGCCCGCTCGGTAGGAGAAGCTAACCACCATCTTCTTTTCCTTGCACCGCCCACAATGGCAGGTGCACACCACGTGCAGCCACAAGAAGTGCACGACCAACTCGTACGCGTCCAAGTTCCCCTGCGTCTCCTGCAAAGGCACGGTCTACGACGTCTATCGGTACGTACACCTCTTCTCTCCTGGCCATGATGTCGGCAGTCACGCGAGACCGAGACAACGGTCTGACAGGGAACGCCTGCGCGCGACAGGTTGACTGTGTCAAAAAACGAAGTCGACGGCACCATCGGCGCATTCCACAAGCGGGCGGGCGGCAAGGCCATCACAGGCGTACGCCACTCATTCCCAACCGACACCGCTCGGCGCGTTTGCGGTGGTGCGGTGGTGCGGTGGTGCGTGGTCTAACCCTTGCTTCCGTCGGCTCGTGGTGTAATCACGCAGATGCGCATGGACTCGTGCCTGCTGGCATGCATGGAATGCTCGTGTCTGGTGTTCCCGGTCATCGGGAAGCGCCTGTGTGTGCTCGACTCGGGCGGCCAGCTGCTCGATGGTGACGACCAGCCGATCGACCTCATGAGCTGGAAGGCCAAGCTGCCCCACTGCAAGAAGCGGTGCCCCGGCACCGCCGACGGACCGTTCGCCCGCATCGACGTGCGCCTCGACTTTGGCGAACTCGAATTCTTGCAGGACATGCTCAAGTACGCACACCGCGCACACCGCGCACACCGCGCACATCGCACACACCACTAAACGAAGAATGATTGGAATGTTTGCAGGAATGAAGGGGACAGCAAGTGGAAGGAGTTCTTTTTCGAGGGCAAGTACGGCTACGAGAAGCGGGCGTTCA